TATATATATATAAATATATAAAATATATGAAAAATTGATGTGGGTACTCAAATGAAAAGTCTTGATGAGTGTAACATCCGGATGAGCTTATATCTTTAAAAACTTCATTATTTAAGAAAGTACAGTACAATTTAACAAAAGTCATTATTTTATAATCCAAAATTTTATTTATAGTTCAGTTTTAAAAATTAACAGTACTTTCACAATTTATAAATTATTTATTAAATTCCTAACAATAAATTTATTCGTACAGCACTGTTCAGTATTACGTCGGTATCATTTGGAGTAATACGAATTCAAAATCCAGAAACTGGGCATTATTTGGCGTTTAACAAAAAAGGCCACCTTTATGGAGAGGTAATTTATTTATAGATGATATAAATAATGAGCTAAGAGCTAAATTGAAAATAATTGAATTTATTTTGCAGTTAAAAGAAAATAAAGACAATACCGAGTGGGAACAATGGAGTATTGGCTCTTACGAGGCCTTCAGGTCACTTAAATACTCTGCTGAAGGATGGTGGATTGGAGTTAAGAAGAATGGACGTCCTAAATCAGGCCCGAAAACAGCCTGGGGGCAAAGAGCCATTCAGTTTACCGTAATTGGGTACAATTAATCAAAAAAAAAAAAAAAAAAAATAAAATCTATTTATATACAAAATATTAATTTAATTAATTCAAAATTGAATTAAAGAGATTCATTATATATTTATTTTAAAACGTGACGTTTAACAGTGGAATAATAGTTATAGTTTTTCAGTTACTTTTTTTTTATTTATTTTTTGGAATTGTGCAGTCACTTTGTGCCCATGAGCATTATTAAACACTTTGACAAGTTTATCTTTTACATTGTTGTCATATTAAATAAAAAATAATTACTGATTGCGTGTCACATCAATAGCGGCAAAGAAAACACGCGAACGCAACAGTTATTTTTAATAATTATTTTTTTTTTTTATTAGTTTATCAATCTAATAAATTTTAATTATTATTATTATATATATTTAGATAGTACTTTCTATGTATAAGAATTTTTTCATAAACATATTTATCTAATATAACTTTGTTCCTTTTTTTTTGTCCATTTCTGTACACCAATTACACAGCAGTACATTCTTTCAATAGAAGTACCTTAAGCAAAGCTCGTGCTCGGAGATTAAATCCCCGTTGAATTTTTTTTTTTTTTTTATTTATAATTATAAATATTTATTTTCTTATAATACTAAAAATAAATAAAAGAAAATTCTTTTTCAAAAAACAAGCATAAACAATAGCTAATTAATTAATTATTAATTACAATTTTCAAATACTTCAATTGATTACTAGCTCGTAATAAAATACGTATTAAGCTCTCAAGCACACTTGGCAGTAAAAAATGTGGAAAACATTTAATTGCAATTTTATTCTTTGGTGATCAAGCGTTAGATTGGTCGAGCTCAAAGACAATTTTTTTTTTTTTTTAAATACAATAAAAATAAATCAATTATTAAAACTTATGTAACCAATACTCGAGTGCTTATCTTTCTACTATCCGATTATTAAAAAATAAAATAATTTGATTAAAAAAAATATTTATCGTTATTGCATTATAAAAATCATGGCCGACTAGTTTAACCATTATTCGATAAATAATATAATTATAATTTTTATTTTTATAATTATTATTATTATCTAGCATTTAAAACTCATTTATAAAATGAAAGCTTACTTCTTTTTAGTCTTGGGACTAGTAGATTGAAATACACTAGATGCGGACATTAAATTTTCAATATACTGTCCCAATACTTGATTTTCACTTCTTAATTTTAAATTTTCTTCTTTAACGCTGTCTACCCTCTGTGATAAATCTGTAAGTAAAAATTTATTTTATTAATACTTAAAATTTCCAATTATCTATACTAACAAATAGAGAGCCGGTTTTAGTATATGATATGGTGGTGATTACTTATTCGGAGCCTATATTTTTTTGAATTAAAAAGAATTAATTTTTATTGTAACTAAATTTATTCTATTCGATTGTCATTTTTTTAAAACAAATTTTTTAATTCTATTAGTTATGTTTATATACTAGGCAGATTTCTTCACTTATGAGACCTGCAATTTCTTTAACTCAAACTTTCAATGCTCATTACAAATTTTTTTTTTTCAAATCAATTATAATTAATTTTTGTAAGAAAGATACGGGAATGTTATAATGATTGCACATTTAAAGTTACAATGAATATTAGCTAGAATAATTACATGAATAAAAGGTGCATGGCAATTCGATAGAATTTAGAATCTGTGCAAGTCAAAATAATACTCTAATTAAATTTCAAGTCTAGATCTAAAAATGCAATTTTATAAAACGCCCAGCGGAGCTTGCGAGTAACAGCTAGTCCTTTATAACTCGAATTTTTTATAATTATTTTAATGAAAATTAAGTTAGCCGAGATTTAAAAATTAAAAAGAATTTTTTTATCGAAAAAATTACTACAAAAAAGAAGAAAAAAAAATTGTCATTTGTTAAAAACTTGAAAAACTGTAAGTGTAATTTTTAAAAAATATTTTTTTGTTCTAATTTAATTATTAAAAAAAAAAATCAAAAAATTAAAAACGTCGACTAACTTTAATATCATTTAATTTAGTAGATATTTAATAATTTTTAGAATTTTTTTTAATAAATAAATTATGGCAAAAAGAATGAGAAAAATATATGGATATGTAGAAATTTTAAAAAACTATAAATGCAATTTTTTAAAAATAATTTTTCAAAAAAAATTTGTTCATTAAATAAAATTAAAAAATTATCAAGTAACTGCTAACTTTAACGTCATAATTTTTTCGCCTCTCCCTTGGAGTTCTAGAGGTTCTACTGTATTAATAAATTTAAAATAAAATTCAATTACCATCTAATGTATTTTGGAGTTCAAGAACTTGAGCTATTAATCTTGCTTTTTCTTCTTGTTCATCAGGACTAACATCGGGATCTAAACCTAAGTAATTATAAAAAATAAAAATAAGTAAAATGTAAAGATAAAAATAAAAAGTAAAAAAATCAATAAATGGACCATAATAATAAATATTTACTGTTTGGACTACAGCTGCCATTGGTAAACGTTGATGGTATTGAATCCATACTATGTCCTCTACCAAATGGATCCGACATGTGCGTTTCGTTATCCGGAACGTCTTCTTCAGGAATAATTACTGCGAACAATATTAATAAATAAACAATTAATTAATAAATTACTTAAATAATATAATGTGTGTTTGGAATATATTAATCTAGGTCATGAAAATGACAGCAAGTGTATGGTAATGTTGTTTACCTTGCGGGTCGTCATCAGCAAGTGGGATGCTGCTCATGTCATCTTGGAGCTTGGCGTTTGAAATCATTGATGCAGACATTTTTCTTCTCGCCCAAGTTTATTGTAAGAAAACTGATAAATAATTAACGAGCAGTAAGAAAAAAAGCGTGCGCACAATACTCGTTTGCTCGTCTGCTCGTCTGCAAGGTTTGATGATAAGTTTATCGATTGGAAGGCTTTACTTTTTTTATTTCACTTTCTATTTATTTTTTAACTTTTTCTTATTATTATTTTATTGCTTAGGTATTTAATTATCACGAGAAATGAGATTATCAATGCAACTATCGTGAATTTTTAAAAACTAATCGATTAAATGATAAATGATTGTCGAGAAAATTAAAAAATACTCAGATTGAGAACTAATATGACGCATCGGTCATGTTTCTTTATTCTCTGTCATCGCTAGCTGTTTAGCTTCTCCGCTCACGAGGGCGCCACGTGAACTTTTTTAAAAATCCTTCGTTTATCTGAAACTATTTTTCCAAATTACGTTGACATTTTTTATTAAAACTTTACAGATATAAATAAGTACTTACACTTTATTTTAACAATAACTTACTCAACAATGTTTATTGGAATATTTATCTACAAGATTATCTTCAATTTAACTTCTGATAGTATAAGTTGTTTGTAACAAATAGACTTTTTAAAGTTGATTGTCCGCTGATGTAATCAAACAAATAGTATGATTAAAATTAATTTAGCAGGTATTTGATAGTTTTAAGAATTTATTTAATAAATAAATTATGTCAACAAAAAATTGACATGTAGAAATTTTAATAAATTAAAAATGCAATTTTTTTAAAAATTGTTAAGTGACAGCTAAGATTAATGTCATAATATTACATCACTAGTAAACTAGCAATATTTTGTAATGACGTTGAAATTAACATAAAAAATAAGTTAGTCGATATTTAATAATTTTTTTTAGTTATTACAAGAAAATAAGAAAAAAATTTCATTTGTAAAAAACGTAAAAAACTTTAAGTGCAATTTTTTAAAAATATTTTTTTTGTTCCAATTTAATTAATGGAAAAAAATAAAAAAATTAGAAACCTCGGCTAACTTTAGAATTATGAAATTGGCAGAAATTTGACAATTTTTTAAGTTTTCTTCAATAATAAATCAAAAGAAAATTATTTATAAAAAATTGTACTTATAATTTTTTAAAGCTTCTAAAAATGAAATTTTTTAAATAAATATTTATTGCTGTATAATTTATTATTTAAAAAATTTCTAAAAATTGTCAGATATGTCTCTCAATTTCAATACCACCATTTTTTATTATTATTAAAAATCCCCACTACAAATTAGATTACAACAATTTTTTATAATTGGATATATAATGACAATAAATAATAATTTTTGCAGGAAACCAGATAGCAATTTTCTTAACAGTGGGAAATCACGACACTTTATTAAGATTAAGACAAGAGATAATCATGTACATTTTTTTATATTGTATTACTATAAAACCGAGTGTTACGTCTGCCGGCGGTTAGTCAATCGATCATTAGTGATACAATTGAACGATGACTTGTGGTAAGATAAATAAAAATTAATATTTATTTATTTATTTGTAAAGTAACGCCCTCGGTAATTTACATTTTCATCTGTAGAATGTTTATATAAAATAAATAGCATCTGCAAAGAGAAGATAGATTTAAGATTTAAGAGATCTGAGAGAAGATAAAAATAAATTAATATATTTTTGATCCTGAACAACTCTGCAGACATTTAAAAATTTTTTTCATTAATTAAATTAGAACTAAAAAAATATTTTTAAAAAATTGCATTAATAGTTTTCAAAATCTTCTAAATGTAGAATTTTTTTTTTTAATAGAAAAAATTTAAAAAAAATTGTCAAATGTCTGCTAAATTAATTTTTATATCTAGTTATTTAATTTCAGCCAAAGTGATACTTTTACTGGTGCTGGGTAGCGCAATTGCTTCCCAAGAAGTTGATGATGCAGCGGATACTCTCACCCGAGTAATCGCTAGATCAAAGAATGCAATATTTGAAATTAATATTAAAAACAACCAAGTGGTGCTTAATTCTACCAAGAATGGTAAGTAAAATTGATAAATTATTGTAATTAATATAATTAATCTAAAAACTTTTCGCAGATGGTTCTCAAATGCGCATCGAGCTGTTTATTGACGAACCAACGCTGTCAAGCAAACCATTGAGCTTAAAAGCGTGCTCCCAGTTTTCAACCTGCATTTCCAGCGGCAATGAAACACACACTAAAATCAAAGTGGTGCCGACTCTGGAGTTTGTAACCATCAGTCGTTTCTTGCCAACACCCAGGGGCCGCTTAACAGATTGCATTTCTCTGAGAGATGACACTCAATGGATTGGAGGTCCGCAGCACAGATACCAGCATTGGCCGGTGCAGCACAAGTACTTTGAAGAAGAGCCATACATTCCAAGCCATCCAACTAATATGGGTATTGCGGAGAGATACTGGCTGTCGAGCAGAGGCTTTTCTGTCAGAGTGTTCAACTATGTTCCGCTCTTTGTTGACCAAAACAATATTAAGGACAAGTACTTGTGCTTTATTGCCGAAAACAAGGCGCCTTACTCTGACAATAGCTCACTGACCCTGGCATATGAAATTGCTTGGCAAAACAATTCGAGACTGGCTCATGAATCCGTGGTGACTCGTCATTTTGGAAGACCTTCGGGATATCCGGATGTAAGAATGATCCAGCACCCCATTTGGTCCACCTGGGCCCGCTATAAGGTCAACGTCAGTGAAAAGGTCGTGACTACTTTCGCTGATGAGATTTTGAAAAATAAATTTAATAATAGTCAGCTTGAAATTGACGACAATTGGGAAACCTGTTACGGCTCAGCAGTTTTTGATCCCGTTAAATTTCCCAATGTTACGCGACTGACCCAGTCGCTTAAAAAGAAAGGATTCCGGGTGACTTTGTGGATTCATCCGTTTATTAACAAAAATTGTAACCCAGCTTACTCGGAAGCTTTGAAAAATGGATACTTTGTTAAAAGTAAGAGTGGAAATGTTCTGATGGATTGGTGGCAAAGTAGTAAGTATTTTTTTAATCCATTTATGATCACATTTTGATAATGATTTGCGATTAGATATATTAATAAATAAATAATTCAGGATGTTACGGATCAAAGCTTTTTATCTAATTAGATATATACAAAAATTAGTACTATTATATACAATGTAAATAAAATTATTAAATAGAATTTTTTTATACAATATAAATATCAAATTTCTTTAAAAAAACAAATTTTCAAAAAAAAAAAAAATTTTTTTTAATTTTTCACTTTTTGACTTTTATGTTAATAATCAATTTTCAAGGTATTGTTTTTTTAACAAATTTTGTTACTTATTTATATTTAAAAAAAAAATTTTTTTAATTTAAAAAAATTTTTCAAAAATTGTTTTTTAAAGAAATATGATATTTATATTGTATAAAAAATTCTTTTTAATAATTGTGTTATTAACATTGTATATAATAGTACTAATTTTTTTATGTATCTAATTAGATGCCTGAAAACGCCATGATCCATGGCGAAATGTCGCTGAATTGAAATAAAAAAAATTGACATTAAATGCTTTGATCCGTAACAACCTGAATTAATCATTTATTATATTAACTGGAGTCTAAAATACTTCGTACGATTAGATATATTGTTAATGGGTCGTTATCAATCTTCAGCAAACAACGGAGCGTCAACGATCGACTTTACAAATCCAAAAGCCGTTACTTGGTGGGTCGCAAGATTAAAAGCATTGCAAAAGCTCGGAATTGACAGCTTCAAATTCGATGCTGGTGAAGGTTCCTGGTTACCACAGATCGCAAACTTGACCGGCCCAATTGAACTAAATCCTGGTATGTTCACGAAGAAGTATATCAATGCACTGGCTGCGAACTTTGATAGAGTTATCGAAGCTCGAGTCGGCTGGGGAACCCAAGATCTTCCTATTTTCATTCGCATGATCGACAAAGACTCTCGATGGACTTGGAACAATGGATTGCCGACGTTGATAACAACTCTCTTTCAAATGAACATGGCTGGGTATGGAATGGTCCTTCCTGACATGATTGGTGGTAATGGATACTTGAATGGAATGTTGAATGGTACAGTACTTCCCTCGAAGGAATTGTTCATCAGGTGGCTTCAGTGCAATGTCTTTATGCCCTCATTACAATATTCTTTCGTGCCTTGGGACTATGATGCTAAAGTAAAATTTTTTTTTTTATTTAAAAACATTTTTTTTATTTAAATATTGTTTTAATTAATGATTTCTTTTTTTTTTTTTTAGACGATTAATATCTCCAGAAAGTTCACAGACTTGCATGCTAAAACAACACCGAGTATTGTAAAAGCTATGCAAGCTGCTGTTAAAACTGGAGCTCCAGTAAATTCTCCCATATGGTGGGTTGATCCTGATAATCAAGAAGCTCACAAAATTAATGATGGTAATGAGAATTTATTTAATTTATTTAATTTATTAAAAATTAAAAATTTATTAAGACTTAATTATAATTTTGAGTTTAATGTAAAAAAAATAATAAAATTTTTTTTCTTTAGAATACCTCCTGGGAGAAGAAATTCTTGTAGCTCCAGTAATCACAGAAAATACGATAGCCCGTGATATATACCTACCAAAAGGAAATTGGAAAGACGGAAATAACAACCGAACATACAGAGGACCAATGTGGATCAAAGACTACCCGGCGCCAATTGATGTTCTACCGTACTTCACAAAGTCAGCTTCGATATAACAAAAATCAAAAATCAAAATTTTTTAAATTCATTTTATTTAAATATCATTATAAAAAAATATAATTCAGCTATTGACAAGAAAAGATCTTATTTCTGTATTGAGCTTAACTATAATGTCATCGTCAATAGTATAACTTTTAGTCTTAAGTAAGGCATCTCGTTCATCGATGAGCTTTCGCAGTTGTTCATTGTGCGCTGTCGAAAGGCCCGAATGGCCGTGGTTTAAATTAGTCTGCAGTCTCGAATTAAATGTAGATAAACACGATTTTTCAGGACTGAGTAGAGTGTAAGAACGTTTTGGTCTTATAACGTCAATTTCTTTTTGGATTTGTCCCAGCAGTATTTTGTCGTTGTTTAAAGCTGCTGAGTCTGCGTGAAGTATTTCTTCCAAACTAAAACAAAAAATTATCATTAAAAATTTTTTTTTCAAGTATCAATTTTTTAATTTAATAATAATAATAATAATTATTATTATTATTTATTGCTTAGCAGTAGCTACTTTATAAGTTTTTTAATCAATAATTAACTGTACATACTTAATATTTTTCAACTCCTCTTTATTATTTTTAATTTGTACTTCAATAGCTTGTCGGTGCTCCATTTTCATCTTGTGAATTTTTCTAATAGCTTCGCCCCATTGTTCTTTAAAAAATGATTTGCTTTTTTGTGCGCTATTCAACTTACGCTCAAGATCTTTGATATCCTGCAACAAATTTTCTGTTTGATCCTCAATCAGTGGGCTCTTTTTACAAGCACTGAGTTCTTCATTTTGTGTCTTTATAATAACTTCAAGCTTAGCATTCTCAGCCTTTATCAATTCAAGTTGTACTAGTAAACTTTGTTTCTGGTCTTCTAATTGCGTGAGCTTTAATTTTAAATCCTGTTGCGCCTTTTGTGAGTTATCATTAAAATCCTCAAGCTTTTTATCATACGCCCGCTTCAGCTCCTCATTAGCTTTAATTAGTCGGGCCTCTTTCTCTAAGCTTTGGAGCTTACGCGCGCGTAAATCGTCAGAAACTGAGCTTAATTGATTCGCCAATGCTTTACATTGCTCGACACTCTCATTTAATTTAGCTTCCAGCGATTCTCTGTGCTTTTGCCACTCCTCGCTCAAACGATTCAAATGACGTTCCTCTTTGCGTTTCAGCTCCAATTTAAATATTTCCTGCTGTCGTACCTTCCAACTCTCCAGCTCGTCGACAATTTTATACGCAAGACTATCATCAAGAATCGGTGGTCCCAAATTTTCGTCTCTTGATCGCTTGTTTGTCTGGTAATAGGGGCCGTGATCCTCTAAGTACATCGCGACATTAATAAATCCTATTTCATTTAAGCCATTGTCAAACAGAGGCGCTTCGTATTGGCAATCTAAAGCTACTTGATTATCAAATAACCGGCATACATCCAGTACCGACTGGCCAATACAAGTTTTGTCCGGCTTATCTCCATCACAGACACTAACTTTAGGCGGAAATGATAATAATAAATGCCGTATTTCTTCTGAGGCAGATATAAAGTGTAATTTACATCCGATATCTTGCAATCGTAATTCATCGCCTGATATTGCTGGCATTTTTGGATAAACTGTGGACATTATCTCGGCCTTAGGATGATGAAAACGAAACTCAATATTATCAATAGACATTCCAGATCTCAATTTAATACTATTCAACATGATATGTAAGCAATAACAATGATATGCTCCGACATTTTTCCCACTATCTTTTTTATTGCACATATATGTGTGTTCAAGTCGTCTCTGAGCTAAATCAGCTGAGGGATAACGATCCGTTTTATTGGTGCAGCTGTTTATATTATGGATTTCACACGCGCATTTGTGATAATCACCAGCAGGATGTCGATGACACTCGATATCTGATAATTTTTGTACCTAGAATAATAAAAATTAATTATTCTTTAATTATTCATCGCGTGCCTACATTGATAAAAAAATTAACTTGACTCAAGAGCCAAAATCTTGAACCAAAAATACCATTTTTAAGAAAATGATTTTCTTGAGTCAAGAGAATAAATTTTTGAGACAAGAAAAAATTTACTTAAATTAAGAATAATTTCTTGACTCAAAAAAATCATTTTCTTCAAAATGGTATTCTTGGTTCAAGATTTTGAATATTATCAATAGACATTCCAGATCTCAATTTAATACTATTCAACATGATATGTAAGCAATAACAATGATATGCTCCGACATTTTTCCCACTATCTTTTTTATTGCACATATATGTGTGTTCAAGTCGTCTCTGAGCTAAATCAGCTGAGGGATAACGATCCGTTTTATTGGTGCAGCTGTTTATATTATGGATTTCACACGCGCATTTGTGATAATCACCAGCAGGATGTCGATGACACTCGATATCTGATAATTTTTGTACCTAGAATAATAAAAATTAATTATTCTTTAATTATTCATCGCGTGCCTACATTGATAAAAAAATTAACTTGACTCAAGAGCCAAAATCTTGAACCAAAAATACCATTTTTAAGAAAATGATTTTCTTGAGTCAAGAGAATAAATTTTTGAGACAAGAAAAAATTTACTTAAATTAAGAATAATTTCTTGACTCAAAAAAATCATTTTCTTCAAAATGGTATTCTTTGGTTCAAGATTTTGGCTCTTAAGTTAAGTTAATTTTTTTATCAGTGAAGAGGTAAAAAGGCGTATAGCTAAGGGTTAATAGGGATTTGTGCTGAAAGGGCGTATAAAAAATATTTTTTTGCCATTCGATAATATAAATAATATAAATAAATATTTACCGTATGATCTGTAAAATAAGAAGCTCTTTTATAAACTTCAGTCAAATAATTCTGTGAGCTTGTTGATTTAGATCCTAAATATTGCAACTTCAATTGAATATTAACAAATGGTTTATCTTCAACACTAAAAGTTTCATTCTTATTTTCTAAATTTTTTAATAAACAATGCTCATACAAAACGGTACATCCGTTGTCAGAGTTTCTTAAAAATTCCTCAATGTTATCAATAGGTACCAGAGACCTCAGATCTACTTCCGACTGGCCCAAGACACTTTCACGATGCTTCAGCAACATCAGTAAATTAGGTTTATATTGCAAATAATTTTTAAATACTCTCAGTGAGCTTCTTATCCGAATAACTATTTTTTCTTCTAACGAAAACGACTGCTGACTATTTACAAATGGCTTGGATTGGATTTGCGATTCAAATACGTGATACCAAAGTGTAAAAGACTTGTCGGTATCAGCTTTGAAGAGTTTGTCTTTCAGACAATCCAGATTGGCAACTGTTTCGGTAATAATACTAAAAGTAAATATATCACGACATTCATTTATAGAACCCAGCTGTATCAGACGCTCTTCACTAATAAGATAAGGAGTTGGCAGATCTGTTGGCAGAATTTGTTCGTCTTTTTTCTCAGGATCATTGCCTATTGATATTGACTCTCGTTCACCTATTGTCAATGACAACAAGAATTCGGGCTTATCGGCTTTTATGTCACTTCTTGCGCCCATTAATTTAAGCCATGTTGTCTTTATACCACCCTCATATCCTCTAGGAAGTATTTGTGCTGTTCTTAGGCTTAATAAAAAATATCCTAATTTGTCTTTTGTTCCATTTTCTCGGTACTCAAAAAATTCAATTTTTAGAGGATCTTGGGCTGAGCGCATTCTACAAAAAAAAAAAAAACAGCAAGTAAATAAATAATATTAAACAAGCAACCTTGCAGTCACTATGTGACTTCCGCGATGTTTCATCCCGATGTTACACTCTTCAAAAGCTTTCATTTGAGTACCCACATGCATTTTGATATTTTTTATATATACATATATGTAAGATATATAAATATATGAAAAATTGATGTAGGTACTCAAATGAAAGGTCTTGTTGAGTGTAACATCAGGATGAGCTTATATCTTAAAAAATGTCAATAGTTCACAAGATACAAGGTCATTCCTTAACTATTGATGTTTTTGAAAGGTCTTGTTGAGTGTAACATCAGGATGAGCTTATATCTTAAAAAATGTCAATAGTTCACAAGATACAAGGTCATTCCTTAACTATTGATGTTTTTAAAGCTATAAGCTCATCCCGATGTTACACTCATCAAGAGCTTTCATTTGAGTACCCACATGTATTTTGATATATTTTTCATATATTCATATATATATAATATAATATATGTATATATATAAATATATGAAAAATTGATGTGGGTACTCAAATGAAAGGTATTGATGAGTGTAATGTCAGGGTGAGCTTATATCTTTAAAAATATCATTAGTTGACAAAATACAATATCATTTCTTAATTACTGACGTTTTTGAAGATATAAGGTCGTCCTGATGTTACACTCATCAAGAGCTTTTATTTGAGTACCCACATGCATTTTTATATATTTTTCATATATACATATATATATAATATATATAAATATATGAAAAATTGATGTGGGTACTCAAATGAAAGGTCTCGATGAGTGTAACATTAGGATGAGCTTATATCTTTAAAAATGTCAATAGTTCTTAAGATACAAGGTCATTTCTTCATTATGGATCTAGAGATACAGAGTATGCAACCTAAGTACTTATCATAATAAATTGACTATCGGTGAAAATGATATAAAACCTTGAAAATAAAAAATACAAATTCAAATTAAGACCTTTGCAATGAAACTAAATTTTACTAAAAAAAAAAAAACCGATTTTATCATATGACTATCCTGGAGATAAAATTTTTCTCATCCTCTTAAGAATGTAGACAATTAAATAAATAAATGAAAAAAATTATTTACTTTCTCAAAGTACTTTTGTTGGCCTCCCAAACCAAATTTATCATGTACTGAGGACATGGTTCAGGATCAATGAAATCAGTCTCCAATGACAAGCCATTCAAAGTAGCTACTATACATGTTGGATTATTAATTTTGTCAAAGCCTCTTCCTAAAAACAAATTCAACAATCAGCTCGACAAAAAAATAATTTTATATAAACAATATCAATTTCCCGCCATTTAAAAACAGAGGTTACGGTTACCAATACTAAAAATACCTTCTTTCAAGTTGAGTGCAACCTGTACCTCGGGTCCAGTTAGCTGATCCATCGTAATACATCACGTAAAAATAAATATAAATAAAAATAAAAATATTAAATAAAACAGTAACAACCAAATATCTCTACATACAAATTAGTATGTCAAATAAATAATAAACGTAAACTAATTATTCGCTGTCATGGAAACGTCCTACCCGGTAACTAACTTCATTTATTTATTGTTGTCATTTTTAATTTACTTTCAGTTGTAACTCGGCTTCGAACTGTCAAAATTTATCTAAAAAAAAAAATTACCAAGTTAATTTCTAAAATAATTGCCAATAAAAATTATATAAAAGTTTTTTTACTTACTTGAAAAATATAATAAATATTTTTAAAAATAAAATACACCCGCCGGGTTAAGGCAAATACTTAACAAAAAAAACAGCTGTCTGTTCTTGGGCGCTCTCTGGAGGGACATTTAATAAATTTAATCCGGTGATTTCTATGAAAATTAAAAGAGTACAATTGGCTGGTTGATTAGTCAATTAAAAAGTGAGATAAGACTGTAAAATCGTGAGATGAATTTGGCAACCCTGCCGGAGCAGTAACAAATCTTTCACCCAATACCCAATGTCGAGTCGGAGCGCGAGAGGCAGAACTCAATGCCCGTTCGCAACCGTTTATCCTCGTCGGCTGAGTGATAGTGGTGTGTAGTTATTATAAGTGTTGAGGTTGAGCTCAGGAGAAGGAATAGAATAGAATAGAAACGAGAGTGTTATTTGGTGGTGACCCGGGTGGTGCCCGAACCTTTTTTCATAACAGCCAGTGAGGGCACTTACCACTGGCACACTCTTTTTTATTTAAAAACTAAAATTAATTATTAATAAATCTATCTACAGAGCTGGAGATCTATCTACGAGTCGAGTCGGAGTTTAAACTCAAGTCAGAGTCAGAATCAGGAACAGAACAGAGTGAGTGGATATAACAACAGCAAGTGTAGTCTCGCGCGTCAATTGTCGTCGAAGTAGTCGATCCTGCTTGCAGCCGTCGTCGTGTGAGAGAGCCAAGAGGATATAGATATATAGATACCTTCATACTACATAATATTATAGATATATATATCTATATATATTTATACATATATGTGCAAGGAGGGCCGCTGTACAATTGTGACTGTGGAACAAACGGATACAAGGAAAAGGAACACCGCTTTTCCAAAGTGTCGGGTCAATGTACGAGGATTGTTAGTACAGGACGCCGTGAATCCTGATTATTAAGTTGGTTATTAGTGAGCAGTGTAATAATAAGTCAATCCATAAAAAGTATATCGCTCCCGCGATTATTAAACGCCAACGATGACCCATAATGGTGGTCTTCTCGGGGTGCTCCCTGCTTCACGAAGACAGAGCCACGTTTGGGGAAGTGTTGCCCAGTGACCACTCAGGAGGTTTGTGTTGACTAAATTAATCACCCGGCCGGCCGGGTTTCATTTTACTTTTTTACTCATAATAATAATAATAATAATAAATAAATAAATAAATAAATAAATATTTTTTTATATATTCCAGTAAATAATAACAGTAATTAAATCGATTAATTTATTTTCATTGAATCAGTTTTGTTGTTATATATTATGAAATTCACCAAAACTCGCTCTATTATTTACAATTTATGACGTTAAAGTTAGCAATTTTTTAATTTTATTCAAAAAAAAAAAATTTGTCCCTAAAAATTATTTTTAAAAAATTGCATTTATTATTTTTAAAAATTTTCAATTTTTTTTGCCATAATTTATTTGTTATAGAATTTTAAAAATCATTACTTTATTTTCATAAATTATTATTATTGTTTATTTAATTACTATTATTATTATTTTATTTTTATAAAACCGCGACAGGCAACACAAAAGTTGCCAGCTATTGACATTCTTGGTGCGTGCATATGTGTGTTCCCATCATCATCGTCGCGGTTGCCGTCATTGGTGGGTATCGTGCGTGCATCACCTCGTACTCGGTACACCGGTGTCATCCTTCACTCTTATTTCTATGTATATAACGCCGTTTTCTTATTTTTATTTATAAATATACGTGTGATAGACCAGAGAGGATTACCGTTAAATACACGGGGTTTTAATTCCCCTACTTACCCTCAGTAACTAGTTTACCAAGTACATTTGTTGGCATTTAAGTACGTCGTATATAAAAAAAAAAAAAAAAAAAAAAAAAAATAATGAATAAGTACAGTGTGTTGTAATATAGAGTTAAAGTGACCAGTGGCAATTGCCCGGAATATAAATTTAAAAATAGTATAAAAAAATGTATTAGGATAATTTATAAAATTAATAAAATGGAGCAAAGTTTCTGTGAAACTTACAGCAACTACTGCCAATATTGACAAGCCCTTTGGGTGGAAAATAAATAAAAAGCATTTTAGTGATCAGTACGGTCCCATTTGTGGACCAGAATTTTTCAGAAGGTTGTGGACCAGTGATTCAAGATGCAGAAGAGTGACAGTAAAACGGGTAGAGGTGAAAAGGAGCTTCCTAATCGCGACCGTGATAGGGAGCAGGAAGCTGCCAAGAGGACTTCTAGAAGCAGCGGTAACGCGACTAGATCTACCATGCACACCTCTAGGAATAGTGTTACTTCCACCTCTGGAGTGTTGATGGTAGGACCTAACTTCAGAGTTGGAAAGAAAATTGGCTGTGGTAATTTTGGAGAGCTTAGACTCGGTGAGTTTTTTATTTTTATTATTTTTATTCATTCTACTAATATTAAAATTAATAATATTTTTATTTTGTATTTAAAACAATGTTTCTGTTGGATATGAAAATAAAGTTAGCCGACATCTAAAAATTTTTATGATTTTTTTTTTTTTAAAATCATTACAAAAAAATAAAAAAAAATTTTTTTCATTTGTTAAAAACTATGAGTGCAATTTTTTAAAAATATTTTTAGTCATAAATAAATTAAGCAAAAATGTCGGCTAACTTTATTATTATCTGTAAGATACAATTAATTGTAAATATCGATAATCTCAGAGACCCTTTTGTTTATATATTTATTTATTTATTTATTGTATCAATAACAAACTGACGGAGAGACTTGATTATCAATTAGCTAGTATATATTCATCCATGAATTTTAATGCTCTGGTTGATTTACATTAACCATTACGAATCTCTCCTCCTTACCAGCTATCAACAATTACGTCAATAGAATTTGAATTTGTCAGGTTGGACAAGATTATTACACTGATATATTTAAGTAGCGTTGTATTTAAAAAAAAAACTAAACAGAAAAAAATGTTCACTTCAGCCAAGAAAATATTTTTCTTCCTAATTATTTTCTTGATCCAAGAAAATTTATTTAAGTCAAGAAAATCTTGTTTTTAAAAAATTCAGCCTCTTGCTCCAAAAAATTTAGTTCTTGATAGAAGTAAATTTTCTTGTCTTGAGAATTTCTCTCTTGCTCCAAAAAATTAAATATAAAGATAGAAGTAAATTTTCATTAATATTTTTTTGATTAACATATCAAATAATATTAAATCATTTTTTTTAATTCAATATGTATAATTGCACGCTAAAATAATATAAAATGGGTATCAAATATTCAAGAGAAAAATTTTCTCAAGTTGAGAAAATTTTTTTCTCAGCTGAATTAGATGGCGCTGCTTCCCTAAAGTATCTAAAAATCTTGATCAAATATCAAAATTTATCGTATCAAGTATTTATGATAATTTGAATTAAGAAAAAATTTTAACCCAAAAATTTTATTGAGTCAAGAATTTTTTTCTCCAGTCAAGAAATTTTTTTAAAATAAAAAAATACAGTAACTGATAATAGCTTGCTGAAATGCATTATAAAACTCGCTCTCCGAGTGTCTATGTTATCATTATCAATAACTTATCAGTTTTGCAGCAATTTTTATTATCTGTGTATCCAAAAAGCCACGACACAAGAAACAACCGAGTGATTAATGAATAACGAATAGAATCTCAACTCAAGATGTTTTACTATTATTTTACTTATTATTATTATCATTATTTCCTGTTTGTGTGGTGAGTATAGATAAGACGACTACTTTCTATATCGCATGTGTGACTTACATAAATAAGACTAGACTGTTGGTATAGAGAGGCATAAATATTTGATTTTTAGAAGCTGCCTACAGATGTTTGTAAAAGTATTACAGGATAAAATAAATACATATATATCTACATAAATGCACAGAAAAGTATATTATACAAAACTAAAATGAAAACAGAGTTTGTATAATACTGGAGAAGAATAAGAAGAAAAAAGTATGAGCAATCGTTGATGCATTTAGTTCAAACACGTTTGAAACTACCGGCTTTGAAAATGGCGTTGATAACGAATCAAGATAGCCACGGGGCTCTTGTCTCGCTCGAGTGTGTGTGCATAAGTCGACTTCCTCGACTGTCTTGTGGCCTCGCTTCGTGCGAAACGAGTCGAGACGAACTGACTCGAGTCCCCTGGTACCGTCTCATTCTTATTCTTTCTCTCTCTCTCTCTCTCTCTCTCTCTCTGTCTCTCCCTCTCTTTCTTCCTTCTTCTTCTTTCAGACCCGCTTGATATTGTATGTATTTCTCTCATTCCGACATAACACATAACAGAGAGCTACGGTAACTCACGTCTTTTAACTTAGTGCTGTATGTGTGTACATACATCCCTGATGCACCACCTGGCCTCTTACTATTTCACCTCAGCAACACAAAACTCGACATCGCTCTCTTATATATAATGTTTATACACTTGGTTCTACGCCCGAACTCTGTTCTGATCTCTCTAATTTTTTTGTCAGCTCGACTCTAGTATTTTTAGGTAGATTTCATAGAAATCAATCTTTTGCATTGGTCCTCATGTCGGAATTTTGTCGTAATATCTCTTAAGTAGTCGAGTAATGCTCAAAAATAACGTTAGTTAAAAAATTTATATATGTATGTAATATAACGTGGGATGTTGCCGCGATTGTGTCTACAATTCTTGACAGATCTAGATGAAATTTGGTACAGATATTCTTTGGATAATAACCTTGAATGAGTTTG